ATATATATATATATATATATATATATATATATATATATATATATATATATATATATATATATATATATATATATATATATCCATTTTAGAGCATTTTATTCAAAGTTATCATACCGTCAGAATCCAATACCGGCCCATGCCTACGAGTGAAATAACTTGTGTATTCAATAGTCTTTGGTGTTACTTACCAAGCACAGCAACCCTGAAAGTCTTGCATGGCATTGCACTGTTGACACTGGTGATCTTCACCTCATAAACCCCCGAGTGTTTAGGTCTGGGATTTCTGATGATGAGATCTCCGGTTTTGTCATTTACTTGTAGTTTGCCTGCGAATATGCCATCATCGGTGTCATACAATAATGCACTGTTAGACGCAATAGTGGCGATGACACGAGATCCAAACTTCCACACAACTTTATCATCTTTCTGTATTTCGGTAACACAACTGTCTAGAAAGACAGGGTCGCCTTCTGTCACTTCAAGCGTCTTCACTGAATTGGGCTCGACTCCAAGCACGCCTGGAAAACAGCAAAAATAAAACACTTTATATAGCAATATGAATCTATACTATGTACAGTTAAAGTCAGAATTATTAGCTTTTTTACATATTTCCCAAATGATGTTTAACAGAGCAAGGGAATTTTGACAGTATGACTGATAATATTTTTTCTTCTGGAGAAAGTCTTATTTGTTTTATTTTAGATAGAATTAAAGCAGTTTTTAATTTTTTTAACACCATTTTAAGGACAAAATTATTAGCCCCTTTAAGCTCTTTTTTTCTGATAGTCTAAAGAACAAAACATCATTATACAATAACTTGCTCAATTACCCTAAACTGTCTAGTTAACCTAATTATGTCAAGCTGTATAGAATTGTCTTGAAACATATCTAATCAAATGTTATTTACTGTCATCATGGCAAAGATAAAATAAATCAGTTATTTAAACTATTATGTTTAGAAATGTGTTGAAAAAATCTCTCCGTTAAACAGTAATTGGGGAAAAAAATTAACAAGGGGGCTAATAATTCAGGGGGGGGCTAATAATTCTGACTTCAACTGTATATAATGCACATAAAAATACTTGGCAGAGAAAAATTAGCAAAGAAAACGCAGATTTGGTTACATTTTAAATTCAAGTTCAAGGCAACGCAATTAGATTTATTATTACTTAAAATACACACAATTTTCTAATAAGAAATCAAGTGACAAACACACTGTAGTACATGATACCTACAAATTGAATGTGATTTTATTTATTTATTTAAATATTAACAGCCTTTTACCAACAATGCCTAAACTCAGTCAAATTTAATAATGTAAAAATATAAATCACAATAAAATGTGGTAAAACGTTTAAGTAAATACATTGTGAAGTAATAATGAATGTAAACATCTTTAAAAATGTAAATATTAGCCTATAAATGCAGTATGTGTTCTATATCACTATAGCTACAGTACAAACTCATGTACCTCATTGCATGAAAACCTCCAAAACAAAACACTGCCTCACCAGTGTATTTCCAAAGCCAAGATTAGTCGATTTTAAGGAATATAAATAGGACTGGACGTAAATAACCTGTCTTAATAGACATGAGCAAGTATTTTAAACGAGATCTCGCGAGAAAGAGGACGAGCAGAATGCGGAAACTGGTGTCCGATTGTGTAGCTGCGATATTAAAATTGAAACTGGATCATACAGTAGGGCTTTATAACATGACAAGACGAGGATGTTTACCTTCGGTTAAATCAAATGATAAAGGATTTACGTTATTCGTTGGTTGTGTAAGGCAGTTTGGCAGGCTAAAACAGCTATAATGGTGTATATTTTTAAATATAATGTTGATAGAGATATACGCGTTTAGAAACCATTGAGAAGCGAAGCGGTGGATAATACATAACATATAGGACCAACGTTGTGACCAAAACAAGGGTAAGAAAGTTATTTTTTATACATAGAAGCGTTTTGTTTGTGAACTAGACACATTAGGAGAAATCCATTGTACAATAACATTCGTTTACAGAGATGATCTGTCATCGGAAAAAAAATGGTGGATGATTCGAATTCAGTGACAAACTATGTGTAGATAATCAAACCGCCGCATGAATAGATGGCAAAAGCTGGATTTATTTGACAATAAAAGCAACAATTAACAGTGATAAGGCAAACTGTTTGTCAGGAAGGAAGTTATATTTGTCGTTACGCTTACATTATTTCTCTTAGAGCGGACTTGAGGGCGGTAAATTATGTTATCGATGTCCGTAGCGACCACCAGGGGGCGCTTCATGGCTCACAATAATAATTTCTGCATTGACGTGCATACAAAAGCTATTGAAGTTCTTGGCCGTATTCAAGACATTTGCACTTTGGGACGTATAATTGGTTAAATATATATAATCCAAGCACTTTAATACAATAACCATCAATGCTGTCGCTAAAATACTTTGTTTAGAAAGTGGTCTCGTTGTAAGCACGTCATGTTCAGCGCTGAGAAAAGTAACAAGTGTCAAGTGACGATGGTGTCTATAGTCCAGTCACTTGACACCTGTTACTTTTCTCAGCGCTAATCGAAACTTTAAAGGAGACCACTTCCCTAAAGTATTTTTTACGATAGCAGTGATTTTCTGGACAATCATTCACACTTCATATTACTTAGAAAAACTTAAAAAAGTGACTGAGCTGTCAAATACAGTTATAGAACAAATATATGGCTCGAAGAAGAAAACAATCACCTACCAACAAACAATGCAAACTGACATTAGATTTTTTAAAGATGTAAATGTTTTGATTAGGGTATATCAAAGGTTTGAAAATATTAGTTTTTAAAAATGTTTTTTAAAGAAGTCTCCTATGCTCACAGACTATTTTATGAGGCCAAAAATGAAGTACAACACTGATCATATGAAATAGTATATTCAGTGCTCAGTATATAGAAGTACACCCCTCACAAATCTCTCTTTTAAATTCATATTTATAACAGGAAGCTATACAATATTATATTTGTGCATATACATTAGATTAGTCAATACTGAAGCCAAATCTGGAGCTTATTTAACAAAATAACCTACAATAATGGTCCAAAAACTAGTACAGGCAAATTTGTTATAGAAAAATATTAAATACAAATAAATAAATAAAAAAAAAAGAGGAAAAAAAAAAAAAAAAAAATCAACAGAAACAATTTTTTTTTAAATTTAGTTAAAATTTTGTAGGTTGTATATATATATATATATATATATATATATATATATATATATATATATATATAAAAAAAAAAAAAAAAAAAAAAAAAAAAAAAAAATTTTTTTTTTTTTTTTTTTTTTTTTTTTTTTTTTTTTTTTTTTTTTTTTTTTTTTTTTTTTTTTTTTTTTT